CATCAAAAACCATCCTAGGGTCATTTATTTGACAGAGCACAATTTTTAAACATACTTTTCATTGTGACGAACAATAAAAGAAAACACAAAATTTGAAAATGCACCATAAAAAAATTTTCTTTTAACCCAATTAACATTTGACGTCTGTTTCGTGAGATGCTTTGATATAGGCCATAAGAGAGATTCTCTTTTTTACTTTTCTAAATTTTGTAGATGGCTTTATTATCTTTAGATGAAAGTATTGAAAAGGAAAAATCGATGTTGAATTCCTAAAGGCGTAGATAAAAAAATTCACCAAATGGATTGTCTAGTTTGATTTTTGGAAGGGGGCTCATTTTGACCATTTCTAAGATACAAATTAAATTTCTTTTTGTTTTTGGTGATTGATTGTTGGGATGAACAGAGTGCTTGTGCAAAATACAAGGTCATACTAATAGCACAAACACAGTTTTCTGGAAGTGCAATTCCATTATATTATATTGACACAGTGGCATGAAGTCATTCCTATCTATGTATATTTGTATGTATGTATGTATGTATGTCTGTACATAGGTATGTATGTACGCATGTATGTATGGATGTGTGTTTGTACGTATGTATTCATGACTTTTGAGAAGCTTTAAATATCTAACCAGGAAACAAGCATTCCAGCTTCTAACTTGAAGGAAACAACGACTGAAAGTCAGTACAAACTGTTGAACAACTTATAGACTGTAAAGCACCACAAATGCCCGCCCTCTATACACTATTTTGCTGATGTCACATGAGGATTTGAAATTGCATTAATAAGATCAAACTACAGAGACCTCAAAACAGAAGAATGGAACTTTTATCATGGCAAGGAAAAAGACAACAAAAGAGGATGGGAACACCAAACATTCAGGGAGTAATAGTCAAGATGATATTTTAATCTGCCATATGTTTAATGACAACAAACAAACTTAATGAGAGCCATCCCTAAGGATTCCACAAATGTGTTTGCTTTCAAGATGAAGAACAACCATTACCTGAAAAAGTTGAATGAAAACCTTAGTGAAATTCAGGATGAAAGGAAAACAAATGAAAGCGGCTTCATTCCTCTGGATCTCAATGCAGCAAATATTTAATGGTTCCAGTCCAGTTGTCTGACTAAATGATACTAAATGATCTCTATCCTAGTGCATCAAGGAATATACTTTGAAACTTACAGGAGGCTCATAAACATATTCCAAATTCTGTAGCCCTACTAAGTTGTAACTCTCATCCTTATTTTATGCAGAGAATGGTTTTTTAATACTAGAAACAATGCAACATGGACTTAATGCATAAGTACAAGGATTGTTAAAGTACAAGGTTTGTTATTGTGAGTTTAGAGGCATTTCATACAAAGAAAAGTAGAGATAACCTTCTTTCTGCATTCGTGTGCTCAGTTGACCCCGTTTCCAAGATCCATCTTCCTCAAGGTAATTCTTATCTGCATTATTTGTATCACCTTCTGTCCAATCTGGTGGAGAGTGCCATCTAATGAAATCTTCCAAGATGCATCCAGGATTTGCAGCCTACAAAGAGTATAAATGTACAGATAGATATGATTCTGTTCATCATGTATGCAAGTGCTCCACTCAAATCCTATATACTACCTTAAACGCCTGCATATCCGAGAAGAGTTGAGAACAGCCGGTACCAAAACTGATAAAAAACCACAAGAAGTGCAATGTCAAATAGGGATAAACATGCAATGCAGATAGTCCAATCCTAAAAAGTTGAAAGAAAAAAGGAACCCAATCTATAGAAAAACCACTATACATAGTATGAAATCAGTATACTCATGTAACAAGTAGAGATGAATAATGCCAGGTTCAATGTTGGAAAAGAAGCAATGAGAAATTGGATCAAATCATGATCAACCTTCCTGTACGTAGGACAATTTCTTCTGTTTCTTTAAGAAGATCTTCTGTAAAAAGCGGACCCTCCTATAAGGTGATGAATGAAAATGAGCTCGGTATAATGTAAAATGCATACCACAGGTAAGAAATAAAAATTAATTCAAACCTGAGTTCGAGGAGAATATATAGGTTCACCAGTTTCTAACATCGTTAGATTTTCTGAAGGATGATCAGCTCCAAGTCGAAGCACCAAGCGTCCTGATTTCACTCTTGCATAAATCAGAGATGGCATTAAGGAAACAGACCCTCCAGTATTTGGGGTGTTGTCTTCCATTACAGATTTTAGAGACTCAATGTCTAAATGGCGCCGCCTTTTCCTAGCAACACAACAATTAATAACTTGCAACTGTTGGTGTAGAAGACAGAAATCCAGATCTGGGATCTCATCTACAGGCAAGAGGGGGATTGGTCGTCCTTCATTCCATAATCTTCTCAGCTGCATGTGGGCATGTGAAATATAAATAAGCAGCTATGCAAACCGGATTGAAAAAGGAATTGAGGCCCTCCCTAAGAAAAATAAACCATAGCCCTACACCTTTAACTCTTATAATCTTTGACAATAAATAGATGGAATTGGTAACCAGCATTTCATGGACACTCAAAACAAAAATGAAGGCAATGCAAAAAAAACTTAAAGGTGTTAGATACAAGAAATTTCTAACTTGTTATATTTTGCTCAGGTGTCATGCATATTGCATGAATAACAGATACTTAGTACTCTAACATCACGAATGGAAGGAAAATTGAATGAAAAACTCCGCCACAGCCGGTCCCAAGCAAATCATACTGGTCCTAAGCTCGGATAAAGGAGGAGAGTTGCGTTATGTAGGGCAGCTAGTATAAAACTTTCCAACATCGTTTCATGAATCCTGAACCTATTGATTTTAATAAAACAGCCGAAATAGTCAAGTACCCACCAAGAGTAAACAAGTAAATCCTACAATTAGATGAGCAATATTTTGAGGGTAATATCATATAATAGAAGCAAATATATTGTTATTGATAAACGAGGAAACAATTTCAGTGAAGTGTGAGACTTTAAAAGAGGAACCAATATCAATGAAGCGTGAGTCTTTGTATTAAAAGAAAATAATAATCCAACTGAAGTTGGGTTTCTAGTGAACTCTGGCAAGAGAAAATAATAATAATAGCAGGCTACCACTGTAGCGTCACTAAAGACACTGAATATAAGAAAACCACCCAAAAGAAAAAATCCCCAATAGTGTTTTGTTTGTGGGTTTTCATTGAGAGAACCCATATTCTTAGATGTTTCATGATGTAATAAAAATGCTGGCACGTATGGCCATAAGCCTTCACATGGCCTTGCCTATTTTTGTTGGTTTCTACTTGGATTCTTTGACAATTTCAATTTGTTTAGAACCTAGAATCTATTTAGGCTGCTCCTACATAACTTAGCAAGTCCAATGGCGAGTAGAATCGTAATGGCTGAACTTTCAAGAATTGAAAAATTGAATGGAACCAATTTTGACATGTGGAAGAGGAAGATGAAATATCTTCTCATCCAAGATAAAAATATGCGTGTACTAAAGGAAGATACACCAGTACTTGGTGATAAACCAACTGAACAAGAAAAGAAAAGTTAGAAAAATTCTTAAAAGATGACCTCATAGCTAAAACATCAATGAAGTCACAAGAATCTAAAGAATGGCCTAATCCCATGAGAAAATAATTAGATTCGATTGAAAAAAATAAAGTTTGGGATCTATGTGATTTACCATTAGATGGAAAACATATAGGTTCCAAATGGGTACTTAAAAGGAAGCAAAAAAGGGAGACGACTATATTGACACTTATTCCCCAGTTGCAACGTTTATATCTATTAGAATAATTTTGGCAATTGTTGCATATTGTGACTTAGAACTTTACCAAATGGATATAAAAACAGCATTATTGAATGGTGAACTAAAAGAAAACATTTATACGAAGCAACCAGACGGCTTCATGATTAAGGGCTAAAAAAATAAAGTATATAAATTAAATAAGTCTTTATATGTTTTAAAATAATCTTCTAAACAATAGTACTTAACATTTCATGATGCCATCCTACAGATGGGATATGAAGCAAATAGATTGGATCATTGTGTATATGTCCTGAAGAGTGAGAGTAAACTCACAGTACTCTCCCTATATATAGATGATATCCTATTAGCTGGAAATGACTTAGAAATGATTTATAAAACTTAGTCATGGCTTTCTTCTCAGTTTGAGATGAAAGATATGGAAGAAGCATCTAATGTCCTAGGCATAAAAATAACTAGAGATAAAAAATCTATAATGTTATGTTTGAGCCAAGAGAGATATCTTGACTCTGTTCTTAAAAGATTTAAATTGCAAAATTGTAAACCATTGTCTACTCCTGTTGAACACAGAGTGAAATTGTCTAGGAAGGATTGTCCAGTAGGATAAGAAAAGCGTAATGTTCCCTATGCACATGCTATTGGTAGCTTAGTATATGGAGTACGATGTACAAGACCAGATTTGAGCTAAGTTAGAGGGATTGTAAGTAGACATCAAATTAATCCGAGCATAGCCCATTGAAAAACAGTCCAAAGAATTCTAAGGTACATCAAGGGAACAAAGCATCTAACATTGTATTTTCAAGCAGATAAGCTTGAAGTTCTAGAATATTCAAATGCAGATTTTGCTTGGGATAAGGACGATAGTAAGTCCACCTCATGGCATGTTTTCACCTTTGGAGGTGTAGTTGTTTCTTAGTCTAGCAAGAAACAAGGGTGTGTCGCTAGGCACACACATAAAGTAGAGTCATGTAGCAATGCATGTATTTTCACCGTCTGGATAAAGCGCTTCATAGATGACTTGAAGCTGCAAATAATCGACGAACCGATTGAAATATTTTGTGACAATCAAGCTGCAATTAAATTAATATAAAGTGGAGCAAAAGCTCCAAAGGAAGACATATAGATGTAAAATATCACTACATTCAAGGTTGTTGAGAAAAAAAAAAGTAACTGTTGGTTACTTGCCCTCATTAGATATGATCGTTGACCCATTGACAATGGGTTTAAGCGTTAAACTACTTTCTAAACACACTAGCTTGATGGGACTTAAAATGTTTAAGGTTGTTGGTTTCTATAAGTGATAAATCCGCATTAGCGTGAAAATCCTCATGATAAAAATTATAAACATTTGTTATGAGAGGCATATCTGCGAAAGCGTGAGAAAACCTCACGACAAAATATTATCTTGAAGGTCACACTCAAAAGTGGGAGTGCACCTATGACCTATTATTGCACTCGGTCATCATGTCCAAATGTTAGGACGTGTGGCCATGAGGCCTCACGTGGGCTTGCCTATTTTTGTAGGCTTCACTATTTTTATGGGAGGAATCTCATGTTTATTTAAGTTTATCCATTTCTGTACCAACTCAAGATATACTTATTGGCCTTCTTTAATGTAATATATTTCAATAATTAATTATTTTTCTAAATTTTTTTCCAACGTTCACATAGATAAGAATCCTTGAGATCAGGGAATCAGTTATAAAGACTTATTTAATTTATATACTTTATTTTCTTGGTCCTTAATTATGAAACCCTCAGGATGCTATTCACCATTCAAGAATGTTGTCTTCACATCTATTTGGTGAAGTTTTAGGTCATAATATGCAACGATTGCCAAAATTATTTTAACGGATATAAACGTTGCAATAGAGAATAATTGTCAACATAGTCAACACCCTTTCTTTAAGTAAAACCCTTTGCTACTAACCTAGCTTTAAATTTATCAATTGATCCATCAGATTTTAGTTTCCTTTTAAGTACCCATTTGGAACCTATAAGTTTCTTATCTTATGGTAAATCACATAGATCCTAAACTTTATTTTTCTCAATAGAATCTAATTCTTCTCTCGTGGCATTAAGCCATTCTTGAGATTCTTGTGATTTCATTGCAGTGTTTCAAAAAGCTAACCGCCCAGCACCTGGGCGGTTGCCTAGGCGGTTCTAGGGGCCTAAGCGCATTGCCCAGGCCTAAGCGGGAAAAAAAACAGAAAACCCTAGGCGCGCCTAGGTGCCCAGGAATCCACTTAGACAGCCGCCGAGCGCCCAGACCTGAGCAGGCACCCAAGGCCTGCGCCCCGCCCAGATGCAAAAATTAGTTTCAGTAGCGGAATTTTTTGTCCTTTTTTTTATACTAAAGGGCCAAATTTCTTGTTTTTAAGTTTATTTGTAACCTAAAAAATATTAGAGACCATTTTAGAAAGAGAAAAACCTCAAAAAACTAGTTTTTGGTGATTTCTTTAAGATTGAAGGGTTTTTCAAAGTTATGAGAAATTGATCAAAACATCATCCATTGATATTAGATTTAATTTGTATGTTTTATAAATCTATTGGAGGATTTTTTAGAAGATTTTGAGTCTTTAGAAGCATATTTGAGGTAGAAGTTTGGTGATTGAGCAATCAAAGTAACTGATTTTTTTTTATTGCTTGTATAAGTTGTATTATTTTGAGATGTCTTCTTTGGGATTTAATAGAAGTGGTGATCCCGGTTGGAAATATGGCTACAACCCAGATCCTAATGATAAAAATTGCATAAGATGCAAGTTTTGTGAAAAGGATACAAAAAGGGGTATAAACCGGTTCAAAAAACATCTTATCGTGACAAGGGAGATGTTGCCCCATGTAAAAAAATCCTGATGATGTTAAAGAAGAAATAACCAACTTTTTGAGAATGGCAAAATGAAAAAAGAGGAGAAATTTTCCTCCAAATCAGAGATTAGGTTTGGGATTTGGGTTAGTTATGATGATGATGATAGTGATGAGGATGGGGAGGGATGTTAAGACAGAACAATCCATTATTAAGAGAAAGGGAAAGACAGTTGTAATTGCTTCTGGTTCGAGTTCTGAGAGAAGCATCGGGTTAGAGGCCCTATGGATAGTTTTTTGGCCCGCCTAACCCTGAGGTTGAAGGCGAAAACAAAAAAGCAAACCACCATTGAAATTATAATGAAGATGGAAAAGAGAGATAGAGTTGCTTTTTATATTGCTACATGGTTTTATGAGGCAAGCATTTCTTTCAATACCACTCGCCTAAGCAGCTTCTATGCCTTGGTAGAGGCAATTGGCCAATTTGGACCTAAGATGAAACCCTCAACCCCATATGAACTTTCAGAGCCTCTTTTGACAAAAGCGGTGAGTGTCACGAAGGATGGTGTAGAAGTTAAGAAGGATGCATGAGCTCAGTATGGAGTTTCTATTATGATTGATGCTTAGAGTGATAGGTAGAGAAGAAGTCAGATGAATTTGCTTGTGAATTATCCTTTAGGGACTGTTTTTTTGAGGTCTATTGATGCATCGGATTATACCCATGATGCCCATTACATATTCCAAGTTATAGAGAAGGGAATCAAGGAGGTTGGGGAGCATCTTATTCTACAGGTTGTCACAAACAATGCTG